TGAAATTTGATAGGCATGTTACTGTCGTGGTCTCCAAGATTGAGTTCAAAGGTGAGAGTCGTGGAGGTCGTTATGTCCCCGTAATTGGACCTTTTGTGTTTAGAAATCCCCCACCTACATCTGCTTGGAGACAGCCGACAGCTGGATATAGCCGGGAACCCCATAATGGGATGGGATCAAATGACGTTACATTGAGGGATTGTACTATAACTTCAGCAGGGGGAGGATAGGTTGGACATGTGTCAGGTTATTTTCTACGGCCACACCAAGTAATTGCTATGGATGACGTCCACTGGAGACCTTAAATCTAATTACCTTAAATTTAAGGCAAGCGCGCAATAAAAAACACGAAGGGCCGAAAAACGAGATGCCTAGATTTGGAATATACTAACTGTAGAAGTACAAATGTTAGGACACAAAGAACACAAGAAACAAGTCTTCTATTTGTCATAAAGACAAATTAACAAAACAGCAGTAGTCACCCTGTTCTGATTCTTTCCTTTATAACATCTTCTCTTATTATATTTTGCGGCGCTGTCGTGACACTTTCAACACAGTAAGAATTTCTTGAACGTTTTTTTTTCCAGTAACAGTCCAAACTCAAATAACGTAAGGGGGGGGGGCTAACACGGGTGACGACGCATCTGTATAATCTGCGGCAAACCGTTTCAGGGTGTTCTGTACCTTAAAAATAGTACAGAGATTCTTTTGTTCTTTAGACCAAATTGATTATTAAAAAGAGTGAAGAATACGCATGTTAATTTCTCTAGAACGATGTACCTCTGACGAAGACATGAGATCTCCGACCTCTACTTTTTATTATTTTTTGTTTGTTACTCATGGTATATTTTGCTCATTTTGCAACTGTTTTGTACGATTTACAGTATGGTTGAAAACTTTTTTTTTTTGGGAAACGGTCGAAAATTCATGCGCGCGCGGATGTCATCCATATAATCAAATCAACATGGCCTAAGAATAAGACCCTGTACATTATATTAATGTGCAGAATTTGGTGGCTTTTTGTTAGACCTTTTTATGGAATTATAGGCTTCAATACACTGTTTCGCCACAAGGTCGGTGGCTAAAGCTAGTATAATGTTTCCCACGGTCACAACCTTGACGCGATGTTGGTGGCTGTAATTATACCTGCCCATTGTCCATGATCTAATTTTGACAGGTTTCATATTGATAATTGTTTTCTCTATTGTTGGGTAGGATACTTTTCCATCGTTCACACGACCTTTTCTGCCCTCTCCCATTGTGCAAGGCGCATGTTTTGATTTCACCCGTGCATAAACCTCCCATGTGTTGCATCTTCCTCCTGCCTCTGGCGATCCGACCCTCATAGGGTCAAAGTGGTCAAATCTGGGCTGCAAAGTTCCCACAGTTTAGACAACCGGAACTGTGTTCGATCGTGTTCGATCTGGGTAATTTGAACAACCTCATTCGCGGCTAAAATGACTGTTAAGGTTGTCCCGAGAATCGTGTTTTAAGGATTTTTTTTTTAAATTGCCTCAGTTTTTAATTATGGGTAATTAAGTACAAAAATGTGAAAATGCTGTTTTCAATAGTAAGTCGACAAAAACTATAGCTAAAATCAGAAATTAAAACAAAAATCCTTAGATTTTTTGGGGGGTTTCATTCCTAGTCGTTAAAAAATATTCTAAAATTGGAGTTTGAGCAATATACGTAGCAAATAAACGATGTTTAAACGATGTTTGCCTAAACATTTTTCTTTCTGACTACAGCATCACGTCAGCTCAAGATAAAGGCGATTCAATACAGGTTTGCGGACATTGTGAGAAACTTGTATCTTATAATACTATATAACTGTCATTTACAGGTTCACAAAGCCGATTTTTGCTATCCCCATGATACGTAATATATAAGTACATGTAGGTATATGAACACGATGCTAGTATAAGAAACCCGTGAATGTTTTCTATTGCCAAAAATTTTCAACGACAACTTTGTCATAGAGTCGAAAACTTTTTGAGGTGACTGATCCGGAATTCTTGGTGTGTTCGCTAAATTTAAAGCTGGAAATTTTATGACCTGCTGGTTTTCATGAAGGTTTACTGCAACTTATGCCTCCCAACCTTTTAAAAACTCTATTGCAGAAACGTTAGTTGGGTGTCTCACCGTACCTGATTGCATTTTCCCCACCCCACCCAAGGAGCCCCACTGCAAAGCTTGTCATATCCTCCCCTGCTCCCGGTTGAGACGTCGATGCTTCTTGTTACGTTCAATCCTTTTTGTCAAAGATTGAAACTTGATAGTCACAGGAGTTCCATGAGATCGTGTATGTCAGGTTTTGAACAAGGGTGCTTTTGAAAGCACGGTAACAACTCCGATGTAGTCAGCACCCAACAAAGATACAAGTTAATACACATTTTAGAATGTAACACATTTTAGACTCACGACTACGTTAATGGTTAGACTACGTTAATGGTCTATACCATATCGTAACTCAACAACGTTTGACATGTAAAAGGATAGAGAAAATATAAAGTATTGTAACGGTTATTCATTGCTTTGCTATTTCCCGGGAGGCTACATCGCCATACTTAACCCGGTAGCATGTTTTGTCCGCTTGTTAAAAAGTTCAGACAAAATCACCCTTATACATTTTCTTATCATTGAACCTGCGTGAGCCTTATGGTAGAGATTTGTCATATTTGTGCTAAAAATTGTGACATTTTTGCCTCCCCTGAATGCTCTGCTTGGAATTACGACGGCACGCTTCAGACTTTAATTAAATTCCCAGGGAAAGCCTGAGGTTTGAAACAAGAATGAGACTCCGTACATTATATTTATGTGGCCACAAGGTCTGTGGCTAAAGCTAGTTTAATATTTCCCACGGTCACAAGCGTGACGCGATGTTGGTGGTTGTAATTACACCTGCCCATTGTCTATGGTCTTAATTTGACAGTTTTCTTATTGATGTTGTATCCTCTATTGTTGGGCAGGGTATTTCCATCGTTCACACGACCTTCTCTGCCCTCTCCGATTGTTCAAGGGGCATGTTCTAACCACAGTAATTGATACATGCCAACCCCGATTAACCACAGACCTCCCGGGCGTTAGATCTCCCTCCGGCCTTCGGGCGATCCGACCCCCATCGGGTCACAGTGGTCAAATATGGGCTGCGAAGTTCCCACATTTTCTAGAACTCGAAATGTGTTTGATCGAAATGACTGTAACGGTTGTCTCGAGAATCGTGTTTGGGGGAGGGGGGTAATTTAGTGCCAAAAAATGTTTTTCAGCATGTCGATAAAATTTTTATTTAAAACAACAAAAAAATTTTCACTTTATCAGTTGGCGATGTATCGTATACATGTAGGATCGCTTTAGAAGTCATGTACCTTTTGTACAGATAAACAGGCCAGAAGAGTTCGAATGCGACGTGCGAGTTGTATGGTACAATTTAAAGCATTCTTGTAAGTTTCACAGGACCCGCAAAAAAACAGATATCCTGTCCTCAGGCAGAATTTCCTTCCAGCTTGTTTGGCGCTCGGGTGTCATGGCGACATTTCTGCAGACAGACCGCCATTGTTAACAAGGACCTCTTAATTTGCATACTGACTGCTATAAGAAATATGTATTCCAAAGGTAGAGTTACCCAATTTTATACATTAGACTTCAGATAGAAATTCTCGCATTTTCTCATTCATACATTATGACAATTGCAAATAATAAAACCCTGATTTGCAAGATTTAAGACTGATGATGTTGACTTTTACCTGGCTTAAAAAAACTCACCTTACCTACCGCGCTATGGTATTATGACATTTGAGGCCATTGTCAGCTTACATTTGTAAGTTAGGTAGGGCATTGACGCTCACACTTTTATACTGTTAGGCCTCACGACGTCATATTGTGAACCTAGTAGTAAATGAATTCCATCTCCGACGCGAGGACGTTGATTGTATTTTCGTACGCCAACATTATTAGTTTGACCTGTATGGTCGAAAATCTCTACAAAATTTTGAAAGTGAGTTTCGTGGTGACTTCGGATGTTATGTTTATATGGCGAGAGGTGCAGCGTACTTTGACAGATAAGGGACGAAACACAGGCATCCTGTCCTCAGGCAGATTTTTGTTCCAGCTCGTTTGGCACCCAGGTGTCATGGCACATGCTTGGCAAGAAGCCCGCGGGTCAATAAGGTATCCCTAATTTGCATACTGAGTACTGATCTCAGAGTCAACCGAACATTTTTGGACAGGTGTCGTCGCGTTTAAAAATACCACGTCTTACATGTATTTCCAACATTTGATATAACTTACGCAAATGTAAATATTACTAACATTAACGTAATTAAGTACCTTATTTTAATCAGTTCCAATCGACCTTCCTTATTCCTTGCCATTTTGTTGAATGGATTCAAATATTAGGACCAAATGACCCGACATTTTAAACTCGTATGCCAACTCAAACAGTTGCAGGGTATCATGTGCATGTGTAGGCTTCAAGCAGATATATTGTTGCTTGGCCTTCAAGCAGGTGCAGAGTGGCGTGGATCCTGTAAAAAATATGAAAATTGGTTCTAATAACGGTGTGATCCTTGATAGTTCTTTATGGAATTTCGAGAACGCTCTTACTAAAAGCACTGTATGGGTTTTGAGGACAAGGCAGGATGGAAACATTTGATATTGAGGAGTACTACATAAAATTGTAAGGTTTATATGGAACAGTCTATTTTGGAATGAGTTGACGGACTGAAATGTTACATTTGCTGCAGATCAAATATCTTCTTTTCTAGTTTTAAACATATTTTCCTGCTTTTTATATGTTTAATGCTTCTCACAGTGACAGAAATCGATGGGTGTGGCCTTATACTTCTGACCGGCTCAATAGCGCCACCCTCCGAAGGAAACCTGCAGGGCAGCAGAGGAATATGTTTGTTTTGTGCACGCAAAGTTATTAACTCCTTAAGTAACTGATAGGATACAATCTCTAATTGTTGTTTGTGTTCATTCAGGTGGTGTACGCTGACACGATGGCGGGTCCGTGTACATCCGGGTTCTGGAGGTGGATGGTTCTGGTGCTGATAGCGACGACTGCAACAGTCACTGGGCAAGGTAAACCATAAGTTGAAAAGCCATAAAGACAAATTCAAATTCAAGATTTTTTGTTTGTGACAACTGTAATTGGGAAATGGCCTTCTTGTCATTTTTTTCATGACTGAAAATGTGCCTGTTTAACAATGCTCGGTTTGAACCATTAACTTAGGATAACATGTGGACACAAGTATATAGTTTGTGTCCTTTTCATACATGTATACGAAGAGATAGCGTATGTTGACTGTATACCCAATGTTGATTACTGATATCTTGACGTTTGTAAAAGCCATTACCATGTGCTTGAATTCATTTGTAATCTTGAAGAATAATTGCGGTTTATCGATGCTTATCCTACCAAAGAAGCAAATTTTCTCTCGACTTCCTATATTGTCAAAATTTTTGCACCAAATGTTACTAAGTTTATTTTTTACCAAAGGTTTGTTCTATATTCATTATACGTCAAAATGTTAATTTATCCTTATATAGTCCGAAGATGTTGCCTAATTTGTTAATTGCTTTATTATCTTACTGCTTTCCTTCGGTTTTCTAATTTTAACAAACAGGAAGGGATTGGGGCTTGTGCTTTATAGTAACGAACCGAGTTCATTGGTCATCTTCGACAAGTAGGGATGAACAAAAATATTCAGGAGTACCGTGGCCGACAAGAACAAAATTTTACACCGCAACTTTTGGTGTTTTACACCGCAACTTTTGGTGTTTTACACCGCAACTTTGGGTGTTTTACACTGCAACTTTGGGTGTTTTACACTGCAACTTTTGCTGTGTTTTACACTGCAACTTTTGCTGTGTTTTACACTGTAACTTTTGGTGTTTTACACTGCAACTTTTGCTGTGTTTTACACTGCAACTTTTGCTGTGTTTTACACTGCAACTTTTGCTGTGTGGAAAACTTACACCCCTCCCCTTTTATAATGGACGGTCCCCCTGTCAGGTCAAAGGTGACAACGATGGCATGCAAACTACGTCGACTGAGTTATCCTTTTCGTGCATAAGTTTTTTAGAGGAAAAGCTTGGCTACATTGTGACGTTAGTTTTTTTCTAAAGGTTTTTCTAGCTTTGGCCTATAGATCGGGATAAATTTAAAAATGTTTCGACCAGGTCCAGTGATTACAAATTATGTTGCTTTTTGCTGCCATGCGTCACAACAAATTTATCAAGGACGTCAGATATCCAGCTCCAGACATCAACAGCAATGACATAAATTTTCTGCAGGTTAGTTCATTATTATTGGGTATGGACATCGTTTTAATACAATAAATCTGTTGATGTCTCACACTCAGTCACAGCACGACACTGTGACTCTCAGGCCGCCGCCATCTTTGTCACCTTTGACCTGACAGGGGGACCGTCCATTATAAAAGGGGAGAGGTGTAAGTTTTCCACACAGCAAAAGTTGCAGTATAAAACACAGCAAAAGTTGCAGTGTAAAACACCAAAAGTTGCAGTGTAAAACACCAAAAGTTGCAGTGTAAAACACAGCAAAAGTTGCAGTGTAAAACACAGACAAAGTTGCAGTGTAAAACACCCAAAGTTGCAGTGTAAAACACCAAAAGTTGCGGTGTAAAACACCAAAATTTGCGGTGTAAAATTTTGTACTTGTCGGCCACGGTACTACAGGAGGAATTATGACTTATAGATTGACATACGTTTGTGTGTTGGTCTCGCTTGGAATACATTTCAGCAATGGGACGATGACAGTGCATTCACAGATATAGATAGATAAATCACCGCACGAACATAGTCTTTGCAACTGTTATGCTGTTTTTTCTAAATACAGGTAACATTGTGTTATGCCGGTTTTAGGTCATTCAAATACAGGATCACATTTTTTTTGTTTCCTCTCAGTCTGCCAGAGCCCGTTTGGGATGGAGTCTGGTGCCATACCTGATGACAGCATCACTGCATCCGGAGTCGGGCATCACTACGCACTGGATCCCCACCTCGGGAGGTTAAATGGAACTACTCATTATGGAGCCTGGGGACCAGCACTGCATATCATCGGACAATGGTTGCAGGTGGGTAGATATTTTAAAAGATTTGTATTTAAAAATGCTTGTTAACTTCTTGGAAAGTAATTCGATTCATTGCAGATATTGAGTTTTAACTCTTAAAAGAGCGAATGTCTGTAAGGATCAAACAATGGTGGCAGGGGTCAAAAAATCGATTTGGCTCAAACTTTGCACAGTGATAGTACTTGGCCCACAACCCCTCAAAATAGCTTTCTTTCCGGTCAGCACCAATCGTTGCCATGGTAACGGGCCAAACAAGTTTCGGGGCCATTTTTCCTGATTTAAACATGTGAAAAACATGAAATTTGGCATAGTTTAAGGCACGATTACGAGCAAGTGCTTTAATATTATGGAAAAACAAAGTATGGGCATAAAAGACCAACTAATCCGCTATTCTAGAATAGCTTTGAAATTTTCAAGAAGTTCGTTTAAAGCACCTGGGCAACCCTAACACAATACAGTGTTTGAGGCTTATGAAAAAGCGTTATTTCTGCCCAATTTCGAAGTGCTGTAATTCCAAAGATAGTGATTTTTTTGCTTCAAATTTGAATCATAGATACATAATTATATGTGCTATAAAATGCATGGTTGCAAACTTAGGGCACTTCTTTGGTTGTCACGTGGTTGTCCTTAGAAGTAGGTCAAATTTTGAATTCGAGGGAAAATATGATTTTCAGCCATGTTCAGGATACTATATCTACAAAAGAAAGAAAGCAATCTGATAAAGTCTTCTGCCCAAAGTAACACTATGTCTTGTCTATTCAATGAATACTTGTCGAGGTTTGGGTCTTGTGTCGTTGGTGTGCACTTGACCCTCAAAGTAGGCCATATTTTAGACATGTACAGAAATTGACATATACGGCTATGTTTGAAGCTCTGGAAATAACAAAGTAGGATGTCTTTTGAATTCAATCTTTGCAGGAAAGTAAATATATGTATTGTTTATCAAATGGATACTTTTGGAGGTTGAGGTCTTGTGTCGTTGGTGTGCACTTGCCCCTAAATGTAGGCCATATTTTTTACATGTACAGAAATTAGCATATACGGCTATGTTTGAAGGTCTAGAAATGACGAAGTTGGATGTCATTTTAATTCAATCTTTTAAGAGGAGTACATATATGGATTGTGTATCAAATAAGGGCTTGTGGAGGTTGCGGTCTTGTGTCGTTGTTGTATACTTGTCCCTAAAAGTAGGCCATATGTTTTTTTTTTAAGAGCAAATGTCAGTAAGGATCAAACAATAGTGAGCGGGGTCAAAAATCGATTTGGCTCATATTTTGCACAGTGATAGTACTTGGCTCACAACCTCTTGAAATAGCTTCCTTTCCGCTCAAAACCAATTGTTGCCATGACAACAGCCTATTCAAGTTTTGGGGCCATTTTGACAGATTTTTGCGTCTCTACAACATGGAAATTGGCAAAGTTTAGGACGCGGTCACCGCCAACTGCTTTAAAGTGACGACAAATACTTCGGCATATTATTAGACCAATGCCTTAACTTGTACGAAATAGGTGTGAAGTTGATGTACAGGCAGTTTCGAATTCAGTCTTTGGGCAACCTCGAAGTAGGTCATTTTCCGCACTTGTCCCCAAATTTGGATTTTGGGCTATTTGAGCTAATGAAAATACCAAAGTGAAGTTATTTTCAGACTCATCTTTCTACCATGTGTTTATCATAGTATTGACTATCACATGGATGATTTTGAGGGCTTCCTTTTTTGGCGACGCCTTTGGGGCGGAGGCATTTTGCAAGTACTACGTTCGCTTTGAAAGAATTTCAAATGCACTAATGCATTCCCTAGGGAATTGCTTCTGAGGTAACCTTCGGCCATGTGGTTTTTGGACCAAGCAGGTAACTTACACCCGGTGCCCACGTGCCACCCATCCAGCTGCCTGGCATGATTAATTACTGGTCATCTGTCTTCTTCCCACACCATGGTCCATGGACAGAGAGCACAGCTGTCTTTGGTCAAAAACCACTTGATCAGGAATCTGACATTCCCTCCCCAAGAACATTTAGGCGGGTGGAGGTGGGTTTATGAAAACAGATCACACAGAGAAAAGAAATAATCTGTCCTTTGGGGACCCACAAAAGGTCAAACCAGTCCTAGGAGTAACAACTTCAGATCAGACCTAAAATCAAGTCTCTGGTGGAGGATAAAGTGCAGTGGAGTGGAGGATGGTTTTAAGTTTGGTTCAAGTGGGAACTGGACCAAAGTAAAGTAAGTCAGTATGTCATCATAAAATTTATATTGCTGGGGAAGAACGGCTAAATCCTCCTATACATGTACATGTATTTGGTATATTGCCCAACACCGCCTCTATCCATCCTATAAATTTCACTACGTGCATGTCTTTATAAAATAGGGAAATCTGTTTTTCTTATAATTGTGATGTGGATTGCTAGCTCCACCACATGAAATAATATATATCATTCAGTCGTCGCATTGGCAATGATTTTTATTGCCTTAGCCTTGTTGTTTAAATGCCCAAATTTGGACTTTTGGTCATCACTAACCATGAGCTGATGAAAACACAAAAAAAGGGGATGTTTTTTCTGACTTGAATTTTTCATCATTTATCGAACTTATCGTTGTCTGTCCAGTGATTGATTCTGATGAATAGGTTCATGTATAGCACATAGGTATTGAGAACGCTGGAGAAATTGCAATTAGTGTAAGCAAAACTTTTTTATATACCTTTCATAGTAATTGTTTTCATGTTGATCAAAGATGAAGGAACAATAGAACGATACAAAATTCTTTTTTTATTCTACTGAATGCTAATCATAATGATCCCAATATGTACTGTCACAGTGGTATTTGCTGCCGCATTGTCATAGAAATCCAACAGAAGGAGACAAAATATCCAACAGACAAGACTAAGGATTTATCATACATACTACTATATAGTAGTAGTGTGATATACAAAATTTGGAGGCCAAAGTAATCTTGAATATTTTACAAGTTTCTGAACATAAAACCAGAGTTTGGTATCGTGTTGTTGAAAGCGATATGTGACCTTGAATAAACATTATGGACTTACTAATGTTCTTTTGTGGCAGACTACTAGGGGTTCAGTCAGGCTAGTATATGTCAATTTCTGTACATGTCTAAAATATGACCTACTTTTAGGGACAAGTGCACACCAACGACACAAGACCCCAACCTTCACACGTATACATTTGATATACAATACATATATTTACTTTCCTGCAAAGATTGAATTCAAATGACATCCTACTTTGTTCTTTCTAGCGCTTCAAACATAGCCGTATATGTCAATTTCTGTGCATGTCCAAAATATGACCTACTTTTAGGGACAAGTACAGACCAACGAAACAAGACCCGAACCTCCACAAGTATTAATTTAATAAACAAGGCATAGTGTTACCTTGGGCAAAAGACTTTATCAGATTGCTTTCTTTCTTTTGTAGATATTGTATCCTGAACATGGCTGAAAATCATATTTTCCCTCAAATTCAAAATTTGACCTACTTCTAAGGACAACCACGTGACAACCAAAGAAGTGCCCAAAGTTTGCAACCATGCATTTTATAGCACATATGTTTATGTATCTATGATTCAAATTTGAAGCAAAAAAAATAACCATCTTTGGACTTACAGCACTTCGAAGTTGGGCAGAAATAACGCTTTTTCATAAACCTCAAACACTGTATTGTGTTAGGGTTGCCCAGGTCCTTTAAACGAATTTCTTAAAAATTTCAAAGCTATTCGAGAATAGCGGATTAGTTGGTCTTTTCGGCCCATGTTTTGTTTTTCCATAATATTAAAGCACTTGCTCGTAATCGTGCCTTAAACTATGCCAAATTTCATGTTTTTCACATGTCTAAATCAGGAAAAATGGCCCCGAAACTTGTTTGGCCCGTTACCATGGCAACGATCGGTGTTGACCGGAAAGAAAGCTATTGTTGTGGGCCAAGTACTATCACTGTGCAAAGTTTGAGCCAAATCGATTTTTTTACTCCTGCCACCATTGTTTGATCCTTACAGACATTTGCTCTTAAGTACCCAACCTCTTGCCTTCGCATAAAATACTAGAGGAACTACGTTCAGCGTTAGTGTTGTTAGCAATAACTACTCCAGGTTGCAGTATGATATGTCAAAACAATCCTTCGTTTTAGGTGGATTTAGGTGGAATAAAGCGCGTCACCGGCATCATTACTCAGGGTGCCCACTCACCTGTTTTTAATCAACTTTCATGGGTGACGTCATTCAAACTTGAGTACAGTGGAGATGAAACTTTTTGGACAACATACGCCGACAGCGATAGATCAGATATGGTAACTTGGATTCATATTTCTAAACGCTAATTCTCTCCTGTAATATTATTTGATATCTACAAGTTTCCTAGACATTTTTGAAATCTGGGGCTTCAGGTAGGTCATGTCTTGCTTTTATGTAGCTAGCTTTTTTGTGTGTGTTTGTTTGTTTGTTTCATCCATGCAACACTTTGTATTGAATATTAGGCAACAGCGGTGCACTTTAAAAAAAATTGTGGTACTGTAATTTTCCCGTTGTGTTCTCCTTGATTCTTATACTCAAGCATAAGGTAAATAGTACCCAGTTTAATGGGTAGGATCTGTGACATGCTGAAACATGAAATTATTATCAAGTCTATCACTAATTGACTTTGACCGTAACTTCAATCTGTTCAGAAATCTGCTGTTCATTGCACTTCTTTCTAATTATTCCAACACGATTTGCTCACAGGTTTTTACAGGCAACACGGACACGAAGAATCCTGTAACGCACCTACTGGACAACCCCGTCCACGCCCGGTATGTGCGCTTCTACCCTCAGTCTTGGTATGGCTACATCGCCATGAGGGTGGAGATTCTAGGCTGCAATACTGAGAGTAGGTATCTAATTTTGTATCGGTAAGAGTTTAGTTTATTCCCTGTGTTTTATCGTTCTGAATCATTGTACCATTCATTTTCAGTCATCTGGGGGCTGACCCTCAATGATGCCGGGATGAGTCACCTGAACGTTTCCTGGACAGTCGTGGGGAATCTTCCGATCTCGCGTTACACGCTCCGGTACCAGCCGTCAGACGGGTCGGGTCCGTACCAGGACCTCTCCCCCGCACCAGGAGCGGGAGACACCTCGGCAACCGTGCTAGGACTCATGGACCACACAGAATACACCCTCACTCTGACCTCTTTTGACGAAAACAACCAACCGAACGGGGTTATCAACGAGACATTCACCACAGGTGGGCGAAGGATAAGTGATGTTGGGCGAAGAACCCACGGGTTTGTGTACCATGTATACAATGTGTACATAATAACACCTTCAACAGTTGGCCGTAGTAGTAAGCAAACCCACTTTTGAATATGACCGTTAAATGTTTCAATCCAGATATTGCCTGCTGCAAGATATTGTGGTTCTCAGGCTTGACGTAAAACAATAAATCTCTCTTGTTCAATGTAAAGTGTAACAAAAAAGGACCGTTGTAATGAATCGTTGCTTACCTGTCACTTTACAGATCTAATTTTTAAAAGTTATTTTTCTTAAATTTAGTTTAGTGAAGTGTTTTGTGCTCAATCGAAGAAACCAAAAAATGTAAAGCTGGCCACTTTTTCTCATTTTGGCTCTAGAATTGTAGCTCATGCTTACTATATTATTATTTTTACTTACCCAGAACCCAAATTGATAACTATATTTTTCGTCCGTTTGTTTTAAAGATAAACCTCTCAGCCTACAGGGTATATAGAGTCATTTAAAGTCACTTACTACAAGTTGTCTGGAATGCATGTGCTGTGTTTTTAAGAATACTTTAGATCCAGTGGTTGACATGTTTTGTACATTGGAAAAGAACCCCTGTATCTATATTTTCTTCTTTAGTGTAATATATTTCTTTTCGTCAAAAACGACAAAAATCTAATCACTGCATGTTTTGAGACTTTCAATCCTTAACAATGTTTTTTTTTTCAGTCTGTCAAAATCCGCTTGGGATGGAAGATGGTGCCATATCTGATGATAGCATCACTGCATTTTCAGTCTTACATCATTCCTATGTACAGCCCTACTTTGGTCGTTTAAAGGGCACTGCTGGTTGGGGAGCCTGGACACCAGCTCGCCAAGACAATCAACAATGGTTGCAGGTGGGTAAAACATGTCATAGATTTATAATTGTGTGGATTTGTAAACGACACCTTGCCAAGTTCGCAGAAGGCACTGTGCTTTATTGCACCAATCAAATATTATATATTAGTGCCCAACTCTTGCCTTCACCTAAATCACTGCGTTACAAATACCTACGTTCAGTGTTAGTCCTGTTAGCAAAAATTGCTTGCTCTTTGTGACATATTTCAAAACAATCATACATTTCAGGTGGATTTAGGGGTGATAAAGCGCGTCACGGGCATCACTACCCAGGGTGCTCACTTGCCTGTAAATATCACTATTCATGGGTGAGGTTATACAAACTTGAATACAGTGGAGATGAATTTTTCTGGACAACATGTGCCGACAAGGAAGGTTCGGATAAGGTAATTTAGATACACAAAACTACTTTTAAGATGAGTCAATGAATAACATGACCTCTTCAGCAATATTTGTGAATATCTTTTTGGTTTGTACACATGAAATATCCTTTTTTAAAAGGCGGCAATGCCTTGGATTTTAGTGTTTTATGTTTAAATCATATTTTCTCTTTTTTTTGTTTTTACATGCGTTTCCTTAATGACATATCTGGATATCACAGACCCCTGGGTATCGCTAGTTTAGGTTTAGCTTATTGAATAGAAGTTTAGTTTAGTGAAGTGTTAAAGGAACGGTAATTACATGGTCTTTGGTAGCACATAAGATCAACAACGAAACAAAAGACCTGATTTGATTAAACTTTTGCCTTTCAGGTTTTTACAGGCAACACGGACACGAAGAATCCTGTAACGCACCTACTGGACAACCCCGTCCACGCCCGGTATGTGCGCTTCTACCCTCAGTCTTGGTATGGCTACATCGCCATGAGGGTGGAGATTCTAGGCTGCAATACTGAGAGTAGGTATCTAATTTTGTATCGGTAAGAGTTTAGTTTATTCCCTGTGTTTTATCGTTCTGAATCATTGTACCATTCATTTTCAGTCATCTGGGGGCTGACCCTCAATGATGCCGGGATGAGTCACCTGAACGTTTCCTGGACAGTCGTGGGGAATCTTCCGATCTCGCGTTACACGCTCCGGTACCAGCCGTCAGACGGGTCGGGTCCGTACCAGGACCTCTCCCCCGCACCAGGAGCGGGAGACACCTCGGCAACCGTGCTAGGACTCATGGACCACACAGAATACACCCTCACTCTGACCTCTTTTGACGAAAACAACCAACCGAACGGGGTTATCAACGAGACATTCACCACAGGTGGGCGAAGGATAAGTGATGTTGGGCGAAGAACCCACGGGTTTGTGTACCATGTATACAATGTGTACATAATAACACCTTCAACAGTTGGCCGTAGTAGTAAGCAAACCCACTTTTGAATATGACCGTTAAATGTTTCAATCCAGATATTGCCTGCTGCAAGATATTGTGGTTCTCAGGCTTGACGTAAAACAATAAATCTCTCTTGTTCAATGTAAAGTGTAACAAAAAAGGACCGTTGTAATGAATCGTTGCTTACCTGTCACTTTACAGATCTAATTTTTAAAAGTATTTTTCTAAATTTAGTTTAGTGAAGTGTTTTGTGCTCAATCGAAGAAACCAAAAAATGTAAAGCTGGCCACTTTTTCTCATTTTGGCTCTAGAATTGTAGCTCATGCTTACTATATTATTATTTTTACTTACCCAGAACCCAAATTGATTAACTATATTTTTCGTCCGTTTGTTTTAAAGATAAACCTCTCAGCCTACAGGGTATATAGAGTCATTTAAAGTCACTTACGTACAAGTTGTCTGGAATGCATGTGCTGTGTTTTTAAGAATACTTTAGATCCAGTGGTTGACATGTTTTGTACATTGGAAAAAGACCGCCTGTATTTATATTTTCTTCTTTAGTGTAATATATTTCTTTTCGTCAAAAACGACAAAAATCTAATCACTGCATGTTTTGAGACTTTCAATCCTTAACAATGTTTTTTTTTTCAGTCTGTCAAAATCCGCTTGGGATGGAAGATGGTGCCATATCTGATGATAGCATCACTGCATTTTCAGTCTTACATCATTCCTATGTACAGCCCTACTTTGGTCGTTTAAAGGGCACTGCTGGTTGGGGAGCCTGGACACCAGCTCGCCAAGACAATCAACAATGGTTGCAGGTGGGTAAAACATGTCATAGATTTATAATTGTGTGGATTTGTAAACGACACCTTGCCAAGTTCGCAGAAGGCACTGTGCTTTATTGCACCAATCAAATATTATATATTAGTGCCCAACTCTTGCCTTCACCTAAATCACTGCGTTACAAATACCTACGTTCAGTGTTAGTCCTGTTAGCAAAAATTGCTTGCTCTTTGTGACATATTTCAAAACAATCATACATTTCAGGTGGATTTAGGGGTGATAAAGCGCGTCACGGGCATCCCTACCCAGGGTGCTCACTTGCCTGTAAATAATCACTATTCATGGGTGAGGTTATACAAACTTGAATACAGTGGAGATGAATTTTTCTGGACAACATGTGCCGACAAGGATGGTTCGGATAAGGTAATTTAGATACACAAAACTACTTTTAAGATGAGTCAATGAATAACATGACCTCTTCAGCAATATTTGTGAATATCTTTTTGGTTTGTACACATGAAATATCCTTTTTTAAAAGGCGGCAATGCCTTGGATTTTAGTGATTTATGTTTAAATCATATTTTCTCTTTTTTTTGTTTTTACATGCGTTTCCTTAATGACATATCTGGATATCACAGACCCCTGGGTATCGCTAGTTTAGGTTTAGCTTATTGAATAGAAGTTTAGTTTAGTGAAGTGTTAAAGGAACGGTAATTACATGGTCTTTGGTAGCACATAAGATCAACAACGAAACAAAAGACCTGATTTGATTAAACTTTTGCATTTCAGGTTTTTACAGGCAACACGGACACGAAGAATCCTGTAACGCACCTACTGGACAACCCCGTCCACGCCCGGTATGTGCGCTTCTACCCTCAGTCTTGGTATGGCTACATCGCCATGAGGGTGGAGATTCTAGGCTGCAATACTGAGAGTAGGTATCTAATTTTGTATCGGTAAGAGTTTAGTTTATTCCCTGTGTTTTATCGTTCTGAATCATTGTACCATTCATTTTCAGTCATCTGGGGGCTGACCCTCAATGATGCCGGGATGAGTCACCTGAACGTTTCCTGGACAGTCGTGGGGAATCTTCCGATCTCGCGTTACACGCTCCGGTACCAGCCGTCAGACGGGTCGGGTCCGTACCAGGACCTCTCCCCCGCACCAGGAGCGGGAGACACCTCGGCAACTGTGTTAGGTCTCATGGACCACACAGAATACACCCTCACTCTGATTTCTTTTGACGAGGACAATCAGTCAAACGGGGTTATCAACGGGACATTCACCACAGGTGGGCGGACTTCCCACGGGTTTGTGTATTATGTATACAGTGTGTAAAGGATACAGTGTGTAAAGGATAACTTCCAAAACAGTTTGCCATAGAGTTATGCAAAACTACTACAGCATAGACATATTATATTTGCCAATTTAGTTATTGCCTGCTCCTGGTAAGGTTTGTAGTTTTTAAATGTCTTCTACGTTAAAACGTAGAAGACATTGTAATCTGCAGTCCTGATACAACCATTGTTGCTAGTCGTAGCTTATCTGTCACTTTACAAAGCCATATTTTTTTCGGGTATTTCATATACAGAAAAATGGAGAATTCACGGTGTTCAAATCTGGGCTGAAAAGATCCCACATTTCATAGTATCCGAAGTGTGTTCGATCCTGTTCGATCTGGGCAATTCGAATCGAACCCGCGTTCCATTTCAGTGTCACTTGCGGTCATTTACAATAAAGCGGCAAAACAAGCCCTTCTGCCTGAGTGCTTTGCAACAAATAATAAAAACAATGTTCTATAGATACAAACGGTTTCCTGGATAGTACATGTCCGCTATTTTTTTTGTGTACATGTAACATGTGGCGAAGCTACTGTCGTATTCTTGGGTGACCTTGAATACTGTAATGATTCTTTACACCCCTATGAATAACATAATGCACACTTTCGGGCGATGTGACATGTCTGCAAAACCCGTTCAAACCTGGAAACATGGAGTGCCAAACCAACCCCATTTACTGCTCAAAATGACCGTAACGGTTCTACCGAAAGTCTTGTTTTAGGAATTTTTTAAAAATGGCCTCAATTTTGAATTATGGGTAATTTAGTGAGAAAAATGTAAAAAAAAATGCAATGTTTTCACCACAATGTCGACAAAAACTAGACTTAAAATTGGAAATTAAAAAATTCCAAAATCACGATTTTTAATCTTATTCCTAGTCGTCGAAAAATATAAAAATCAGGGATCTGGGGTAATACACGCAGCCAGGTTTGAACGATGTTTGCCTAAAAACATGACGTGAATTGTGCTCGGAAACCCGAAAATAATCGTCTTTCTGAGCGAAAGTTTAAAAAAACAGTGATTTAACATAAAAAGCTAACATTAAAGAGGCCAGTAATACTATATAATGACCCCACCCTGCCGATATAAATTCGATAACATAAACTACCAGACTTCAGTCTTGTTCTGGCAGCCGTGCAGTGTACATGGGGGAGGCCTGTCTAAAGCTAAGGTCCCAATTGGGAAAAGGGGCCCTGGCGGGTAGTTCCCGGGCTGTTTTTTACCACTTTCGGGCGGGACCCCGACGTGGCCCCGCGGGGCACCCTGCGGCTACCGGGCTATTTTTTGGCCCGTCGGGGCCCCGATAAGAATTTAATTCTGAGTTAAATTCTACCCGGGCCCCGCTGACAAAAAGACGCCGTGACCTCATCGTGAGAACACCGAGAGGTACCCCTCCGGTTGCCGGCATTCCACCGGGACACATTTCTTACGTCACAGACCAGATGAACAGAATAAAGGTGTGTACTTCGTAAACCCGGGTAAAATGTGTGACCTCACAGATCAAATGATCACAACAAATACGTGAATTCTGCATTACGTATAGGTCAATACAAGACATCGTCAGAGAATCTGCTGGGTACCTGCCGTGTGCCTGCCGGAGACCGACCAAAGAGGGTGACAAAATTTCTAACAAAATGCTACTGAAGGAAACTTTTAATTGTGACCACGACAGCCGATGCCCGCTCGACTCCTGAACCCGGCCGGGGCCAGCCGGGGCTACATCCCCGACGGGCACCGGCGTAATTGGGACCCTAGCTTAAGACAGTTTAGCTTGCCAAGTAAAAATTTCTCTTCAAGACACTTTAAAATGAGACACACACACATATATAAGAAGCTATATTCACGAGTATCCAGAAATATGAAGTATACTGGCTTGCCATATTCTGACTTGTAGCTTGAGACCTTGGTTGACAGTTACATGCCCAGTTCTACATACAGAGCCTAAGTCCACACTGGTTTATCTGACTGCAAGTAGGCATCACATTTACAAGCCATATGTCAGACACAAAACTGCCAAAGCTAATTCAGTTGTGAGAAAGACAGATACAAGTAGACACTTTGAAACTTTGATACAGCAAGGAAGGGTATTACATGTATATAGTAAGGGCGCCATATACATGTGCATGTATGTCATTGGATAAAACTTTGACAGGGCTGATTTGAAAGTTGCAATTTGTTTAAGATTGATTTTTCGAACTGAAAGTTGCGATTTCCTTGCTTATGTGGCTTCGTAACAAGTATCTGGGTCATTCTGCCTTTTGAAAATGTTACACTGAAAACCAGTAGATGATAAAAAATTTGAATCTTTGAAAACTGACCAGTATGCAAATGCTCCTGCCTTTGTTCTGAAGGATAGACTGTCTAGGATTTTTATGAGTTTATGGGCCAATTCACTATTCCATCTGCTGGGAAGGTCACAGTGGGAGCACTTCCTTATTGTTTTTACCCAGGGTAAAATACTGGCCGGTTTAAAAAGATGTTAAGCTGATGATTTCATTTCAATTTGACGAAATTTACCACTAAAAACTATTTGTTTATTTTCAAATGTTTTACAAGTAGTCCAAAACAGGCCAAAGTAGCGTCTTGTAACACGATACATTTTCGAACGCGCTTAGCAATGGAAAAGAATGCCGTAGTGACAGGCCGCCCTGATTTTGTGCTCAATTGACCATACACAAATAATGCAAATTAGGCTGGTCGCTTTTTTTACCATCTAGCCTCTAGAATCGTCGCACTTCCTTGCTATATTATCATTAATCACTACGAATATACCCCCACGGAATAATATTTTCGGTCTGTTACTCTATTTAACAGATTACCCAAAGTGCAGTATATAAAATATAGAGAGTCATTAAAACTCATTTAACTCATTACGAAAAGTTGTCCCAAATGCATGTAGTGTACGCGCTCAGAATATATTAGATCCAATGGTTCCATAACTTTACCTGTTTTGTACATCTGGGTGAACCACCGCCCGATTTTATATTTTCTTCTTAATTGTTAATCAGTTATTTGTCTGATACAAGTAACATCGTATTGCCTCATGCTTTATAGTCTGTCAGAGTCCGCTTGGAATGGAATCTGGTGCCATACCTGATGACAACATCACTGCATCTGGAGTCGGGCATCATCATTATCTACAGCCCTACTTTGGCCGTTTAAAGGGAACTGCTGGTTGGGGAGGCTGGGCACCAGCGCACCAAAACAGAGGGCAATGGTTACAGGTAGGTAAAATATGTCATAGATTTTTTTTCTTAAAATCTTGTTTGTATTTGGAAAGGACGCCTTTTTAACTTCGCAGAAGGCACTGTAATTTATTGCAGCAATTAGGTATTATTATATAGCATAATACCAAACTTTGCCTTCGCCTAAATCACTGCGTTGAAAATCTTTGTTAGTGATTGATTTTTGTTAGTGCCGTTAGCAAGAACAGCTTGCTCAAGATAACATTGATATATGCCCCCAAAAATTTGCATTTCAGGTGGATTTAGGGGTGATAAAGCGCGTCACGGGCATCACTACTCAGGGTGCCCTCCAGCTTGTACATCATCGCTTTTCCTGGGTGAGGTTATACAAACTTGAGTACAGTGGAGATGGAAGTTTTTGGACAACATATGCCAGCAGCGATGGATCCCATAAGGTAATTTTGATACACAACACTACTTACTAAATAGTAAATAAATGTATAACTCTCTTTAACAATTTTGATATTTTTACTATTTTTGAAATTCTAAAATGTCCCAGCTTTCTTGTCGTTTGTGTTTCGTCTTCACAGTCGTTCCCTTAATAACTTATCTTGATATCACAAACCCCTGTATATCGCTAGTTTATTTTTAGGTTACTTATTAAAAGTTATGTTTGGATGAGTGCCATGTGTATGGTAATTACATGGTCATCTGTATAAATGATGTATTCGACGAAACAATTGTTCTCATCTAAATTAAACATTTGCCTTTCAGGTTTTTGCAGGCAACACGGACACAAAGAATCCTGTAACGAACCTCCTGGAAAACCCAGTGGACGCCCGTTTTGTGCGCATCTACCCTCAGTCTTGGTACCATTACATCGCCATGAGAATGGAGATTTTAGGTTGCAGCACTGACAGTAGGTGCTCTATTATTACCATGGTTAGAGTCTATATTACTAGCGGCGATTTATCTTTGTGGTATACGTACTATACTGTTTTATTTTCGACATGGTAGTTACGTCTAATCATAGAATTTCAGACAATTTAGAGCAAAATGTCCTGCTGTAAGACTAATAGAAGGACAGAGGTGAAAAAAAGTCTTAAATTTTACTCGGAATAGAGGAAAGACACATCAAATCAGGGCTTTGATTAAGCATTTTCTGTAATTCTGTAACTAAATTTGGAGATGGTAAAATGTTGCTCTCTGTCGTAAACGTTTTCAAAAGAGGACATAAACAGGACCAAGATCAATCAGGATCGGCCAGAATGGGCCTGAATAGAGAATGACTCACCAATAGCAGACTTGTATTATACAATGGCGAAAAAACGGCTTACTATCAGACCTTATTCCATCCCTGACTACCGTGGAGGTAACAAGTGCAGTGGGCTGGGTTTTGATAAACATATTGATAATAGATATTAGGAATTTAGTTAGCCTCACATAACACAGAATGTTAATTTCTTAAATTTCATTAATTAAAATAAAAACACTGCCTTGCCAATCTTTTATTTGTCCGATTGTGTAAAAGAGATTTGCGGGTAGTTACTTGTGCACATTCTAAATCTGCAATGTTAAATTTTTGTTACAGTATCTAATTGTAGATATCTATATTCAAATTTTGTACATTGAAAATGTTAACCTCACTTTTGAATCATTTTGGATAGTAAGTGTGATGATAATATGTCTTATAACTATGGCAAATCACTTCACTTATAAGACTGAACCTAGCATATGCTACATGGGATCCATATACAAAGAAAGACAAAGACAAATTGGAAAGGGTACAGAATCAAGCTGCAAGATTCTGTATGAAAAACTATGAAAGAGGTGCTAGTGTCACGGAAATGAAAATAAACCTACAGTGGGTCCCATTGGAAGACAGAAGAAAAATGTCCAGACTATGCATGATGTACAAAATGACTAATAAACTGATGGACGTCCAAACTACTACGTAACTAATACCAGCCCAGAAGAGAACAAGAAAGCCATGCCTTCAAGTACCAAAGTTATCAAACAAGTATTGAGGTGTTCAAGAATTCATTCTTTCCTACTACTATCGCAGAGTGGAACTCACTGACACCAAGTACAGTAGGGGCATTGTCATTAGATAACTTTAAACAATGTCTAGAGTTAGAAGTTCAAGGGTAAGGTGTAACAAGTCGATTGGTGTGATATAGCCAACTGCCGCCGCGCCGCGTGCCTGCGAAGCTGGTGTGTTACGCCGAAAGGCAGTTATACCGACTATATGCAGATACAGATACAGACAGAACTACAGTGTCAATTTGGCACATGTTGTATACGAAAACATAGCTCCTGAGTCTAAATGTATACTGGTTTCTTATACAACATGTACCAAATTGACACTATAGTTATAAGCCATATTTTATCAATATTTGAGAAGCCACAGTCGGGATCATTGCGACTCCCTGGGCGCCAACCGTTACAGTTCAAAATATATCAGAGAGACGACAATGAGTCGTTGTAGCTTGAACATTTTTTCATTATTTTTATAGCCCTTGGGACTAGAAAAAAAGAGATTTTCATTATGGCCGTAAATATATCAAGGTATGCTGGAAGTTGACGGCGGTTGGTCCGACTGGGGCCCATGGTCTGGCTGCAGCGTGACGTGAGACTCGGGACAGAACCTGCACCAACCCTGCACCAACGAAGCGTGGAGAAGACTGTGAGGGACCGACTCAGGAGACACGAGAATGCAATACAGGGGTGTCTTGTACAGGTAAGGCCCTATTAGTCTATTTAGTGGCACTCTCACGGTGACCTCTCTGTGACCTAAGTTTGGCCATAGCGCTGATAGAGCGCAGAAAAAGGTGCTCAAATTGAATCTCTAGGGCGACCTCTCTGCGCGACCAAACACTAAAATTACGACTATAAAACGAAATTATACACGTTTCCTCCCTTTCAAAGTCATTCTTTTACATCCTACATCATATTCATATTATGAAATCAAGAGTGTAAGACCCCCATTTTGCTAGAACGCTCTCACTGCGCAGTCACGGCGCTCTCTATCTCCGCGACCTGAAATTGGTTGGAGCGCTGGAGAGCGCCGAGGTTACCATGTTTTGCATCTACTAGTATTTCATGAAGGTATGAGATCTCGGAACTCTTGTTTCGCTATACAAAAATACAACAAGCAGGGATTATTCTGCTCCTTCGAAAAGTTTTCAGATTTCCGAGAATACTTTAAATGTTAATTTGCCTCCAATTAGTTGACGGCGGTTGGTCCGATTGGGGCGCATGGTCTGGCTGCAACGTGACGTGTGGAGTCGGGACGGAGACTCGGGACAGAACCTGCACCAACCCTGCACCAGAGAACGGTGGGGCAGACTGTGACGGACCTGCTCAGGAGACACAGGCATGTGACACAGGGGTGTCGTGTCCAGGTAACTCGACGTTAAACTTAAACTCCTATATACGTATATTCGATGTATCTTTCTAAGCAAATTATAAAAGAAATACAAGTAAAGAAGCAAAGGAAGAACCATGTTGTCAGTAAACAACACAGCAATAGGTCTTCATTTGTCATGGTAAATAAGTAAGGTTATAATCCTCATGCAATCAGTTCCCCTGAGCAAGCTTTATGTCAATTTCCTAGAATACCACCAAGCAGCGTGTATTGTACTATTTTAAAGGACAAAATATTTGTTTTTTTAGAAAACATTGGATTTTATTCTGTCTGCATATATAGTTGACGGTGGTTGGTCTGAATGGTCCCCATGGTCTGGCTGCAGCGTGACGTGTGGAGTCGGGACGGAGACTCGGGGCAGAACCTGCACCAACCCTGCACCAGAGAACAATGGGGCAGACTGTGACGGACCTGATCAGGAGACACAGGCATGTGACACGGGAGTGTCGTGTCCAGGTAACTCGACGTCATACTCCTATATACGTATATTCAAAGTATCTCTCTAAGCAAATTATGTATGCCTACCTGAAGCTTTTTTCAACTGTCTTAGCTGTCATTTGGATGGTTCATACGTGGCTGACAGACCTAGATGGAAGACGTCACGCAGCAGTCCATGCTTTGTTCCCAGACATGAGCAAAGCATTCGATAGAGTGAATCATGCAATTCTCCTTCAACAAGTAAACGACGTGGTAACCAACCCACGTATGGTAGCCTGGATAAAGAAATATCTGCAGGGCCGCACCCAGAGAGTGGTTGCTAACGGTAATGTCAGCGAGTGGAGGGTACTCACTTCGGGGGTACCTCGGGGAGGTGTACTGTCGCCTTACCTTTTCGTCCCGTTTATGAGCACTCGAGACGCAGTCTTCAGCGACACTCTTGATGTCGGTTACGCGGACGACGTGGGTCTGTCCCGGTCAATCTCCCTGGGGAAGGCTGGCGTGGATAACAGTATGAGAGAGAAAGCGCTACAGCTTGATTCCTGGGTGGAGTGAAATGGCATGTTGCTGAACGGCAAAAAATGTCAATCTCTGTCGACCTGCTTCAGCAGAAACATTCCTCTTTTACCATCACTGTCTCTCGGCGGTGAACCTGTACCATTCTCAAGCGTAGCAAAGGGCCTTGGGTTCATCTTCGACTGCAAGCTGTCATGGCACAACCATGTACAATCCCTAGTTTCAAAAGCCTCGAGCAGGATGCACTATCTCCGACTACTGACCAAACAGGGGATGAGCGTGGTTGACCTTGTCCAGATTTACTTGTCACTTATTCGTAGCGTTCTTGAATACGGTCACGTTATGCTGGTAGGCTGCAGCAAAGAACAATCAGACAGTATCGAATTTTTACAGAAGCGGGCCCTCCGCATCATCTCTCTCGGCGGCAGACGAACAGTTCCTAACCTACCTTGAAGGAAAGGGGAGAAGTTGCGGCAGTAAAACTCTTTAAAGACATGTTAAAACCCGATCATCCACTGCATGATCTTGTGCCTCCTCAAAGATGCACAGCCACTGGCAGGCAACTGAGGAACAATAATGCGTTCACTCTTCCCAAGGCCAGAACTGAACGACTGAAACAGTCATTCCTGCACACTGCAGTTAGACTCTCTAATAACTGTATTTCTTAGCCCAACCATCAGCCTGTGAGCTCGGATCTTTGTTTAGTTTTTGTAACTATATTATGCATTTTTGTCAGTCTCATGCACATGTGATATTCAGCACATATAGTAAGCACAACGTTTTGTAACAAACCTACGTAATTCAGGGTATATAAACATGTATATGTGTGTATTTCCATGTCAATGTATGTTTGAGGAAGATATAAAAAAGAAATAAAATTATAAAAGAAATAAAGAAGCAAAGGAAGAACCATGTTGTTGGTAAACAACAGGTCTTCATTCGCAATAGGACTTCATTCCTCATGGCAAATAAGTAAGATTAATTATGATCATCATGCAACCCGTTTCCATGAGCAAGATTCATGTCAATTTCCTAGAATACCACCAAGCAGCATCTACGTTTTGTGCTTTTTTAAAGGGGCAAAAATTTAGTTTTTCAGAAAACATTGGATTTTAAATTAATTCTGTCTGCATATA